TCATCAGATTGGCACAAATGAAAAGGTTAAAGAGGGCGTGAATAAATAGATTTTTCCATACACATTGCTGGGAGTATAAATTGGTCATCTTTTTGAGAGCAGTGTGGCTCTATAACAATATTGTGTCTGTAATAATTTCAAATGAGTATTCCCTTAACCCAGAAATTCGACTTCCAGGAACACTCATACATTTGCATATGAATATGTAGAGAAAGCTTCGTAATAATGAAAACATTGAGAACAACCTAATCATCTGTCATATTATCTCAGACAGCTAGTTTCATTCTGCCTCTGGGCTAGAAATTAAAACCTATTTCCCTGGTTACCATAAGTTCCTGCTTTCTCCCTGGGGTTAAGAACAGTGCCTGCGAATGGAAAGAGAATATGAACTCAGATAACCCAGGTACACAACCCTGCAACTGCCTGGTCTCCTCTAGCTAGTGAGTTTACCTCTGACCCTGGTGTGGTGTCACATGCCTGTAATCCCAGCAACTCAGGAGGCTGAGGCAGGAGGATAGATAGTTCCAGGCCAGCTTCAGCAACTTAATGAGAATCTGTTTCAAAATAAAAAAGGCTAGGGATGTAGCGCAGTGGTAAAGCATCCCTAGGTTCAATCCCCAGTAATCCTCCCAACTAAAAAAAAATGTTTATCTCTGTGTATAGATAATTTTTCTTTTCATTTTGTTGGTGCTGGGTTTGGAACCCAGGGTCTCACACATTCCAGCCAAGTACTCAACCACTAAACCATGTCCCAGCACACACATACCCCCTAGCCTCTGAGGATTGAACTCAGGGGTGCTCTACTACTGAGCTACTTTCCCACCCTTTTTCCTGTTTTTGTTTTTTTTTTTTTTTAATTTAAAACAGGATCTAAGTTGGTAAGGCTGGCTTTAAACTTGTGATCCTCCTGCCTCAGATTCCTGTGTCACTGGGATTACTGGTATGTGCCACAATACAGGGCTCTAGCCCCATTTTTTTTTTTACTTCTGCTTTTTTTTTTTTTTAAATTTTTTAGGTGTAGTTGTACACAATGACTTTATTTTATTTATTTATTTTTGTGTGGTGCTGAGAATTGAACCCAGGTCCACACATGTGCTAGGTGAGTGCTCTACCACTAAGCCACAACCCCAGCCCCTACTTCTGCATTTTTTAATAGGCATTCCCAAACCAAGTAACCCAATTCTATGGGTGATTTTATTAGCAGCAAGGTAGTTTTTAAGAAAGGGATTTGTACATGGAGAATTTGGGAGAGCATTCAGAGAGCTACTTTAGACTCTAAAACCCAGTTTCATTTTTGTCAATGTTGAGGAGCATATGCTGTATTCCATATAATGAAAATTAATGCTTAATATCCATGGTATTCACCCTGACAAATATCTCTGATTTATTAAAAATGAAGTGGCTCTCTAATATGTTAATCGCTCTTGGCTATAAATATGAGAAAGAAATCTAGTTTCCAGGGCTGGGGATGTGGCTCAAGCGGTAGTGCGCTCGCCTGGCATGTGTGCGGCCCGGGTTCGATCCTCAGCACCACATACAAACAAAGATGTTGTGTCCGCCGAAAACTAAAACATAAGTATTAAAAAAACTCTCTCTCTCTCTCTCTCTCTCTCTCTCTCTCTCTCTCTCTCTCAAAAAAAAAAGGAAATCTAGTTTCTGACTAGAAAAAGAGGAGTGAGTCACCTGTGTACGCCCAGCAGGAAGGTTAACATTTATCAAACATAGATCAGATGCTCTTTACTCAGTAGTTTAATTTGCATAGATCATGAAATTATTAACAGAGGCCAATAATAATTGGTTTAGACTTGCACTGTCCAATAGAAATATTATGTGGGTCAAAAAGTTTTGTAAGTAGCCACATGAACAGTAAAAAAAAAAAAGTGATGTATATTTGAAATATTATTTCAACATGCAATCAACATAAAAACTAGAATTTCATTTTCTTTTTGGAGATCTTTGAAATCCAATGGGTTTAACATAGTCTCAGTTGGACTAGCCACATTTAAAGTGTCTAATAGCCATATGTGGCCAGTGGCTGGCTATGGCATTGACCAACGAAGGGCCAGACTGTAAGCTCTAGAGGACATAGATAGTAATTGGTTTATCATTGTATACCAGGAGCTGGTATACCATAGTACGTAGCTGGTGTCCAATTTTTTTATTTGTAAATATTTTTTATTTGTAGTTGGACACATACCTTTATTTTATTTATTTTTATGTGGTGCTAAGGATTGAACCCAGGGCTTCACACATTCTAGATGAGTGCTCTACCTCTGAACCACAACCCCAGCCCCCAATAATATTTTCACTCAATGAGTGGATGAATGAACAAACATAAAATCATTATCTCATTGACTCAACTGTAATCCATGTGACTGAGTCATGTTTGTTACAGAAATAATTGGTAGTAAACTTATAATACCTTTCTTGCTGTATGGTCATTTAGAGAAAAATCTAGAATATGTTGTATTTCTTTTCATATTTGCTCAAAAATAGCTTTAAAAATTATCTACTGGCTGCAGATAATAGAACAAATAACAGAGTTCTTTGAGTTCCTATCTGTGTAATTGTGATTGTCTTGATATTAGTTCTTGGAAGCATTGCTGTCTTTTTTTCCCTGCAAGACTGAGGATTGAACTCGGGGCTTTATACGTGTTAGGCAAGCACTTCATCACTGAGCTACATCCCTAGCCCATTATAAAATTTTATTTTGAGACAGGGTCTCACTAAATTGGCAAGACTGGCCTCAAACTTGCCCTTCTCTTGCCCCAGCCTCCCAAGTAGCTGGGATTATAGGCATGAGCTACTACACCTGATTTGCATTGTGTTTTGAGAAGACCATTTCATAATCCAATACCTATCCCCTAGATCATATCTTTCTCTCCCTTCCCCCTTCTCACCTTCTCTTTCTCCCTCTTCCTTTTTGGTTTGGTGGGGGAGATTGACCCTATGGCCTCACACAAACCAAGCACATACTCTACCACTGAGCCCCATCATCTGTCTCTTAAGCATAATAATATCAAAGTCCACAGAGAGTGGGACACTGTTTTGATGATCCCTGTCACTGTTGACTTTTACCAGAATTGAAGTCAACCAAACTTTGGACCTGTTAATATATCTCCAACTATTTTAGGTGTTGTGGGTGATATAGGATAATTATTACACATGATCTTTGTCTTTGAGCTTATTCTCTATTTGGAGAGGAAAACAAGCTGATTAAATGAATAGAGTAGAATTAAATGCAAATTAGCTGGCTCCTAACTTTGATCAGTGTTTTTCTTTGTGCCTAGGCTTGGTTATAGGAAGGTGAGTACTAATACTTTCCTCTTTCCTCAAATAGTTCACAGCCTCCTGGAAAGATGCATATTTAAACCAATATACATTTTAACATAAATAAATCTGTGAAGTACAGTAATAATATCCCCACATATAGATGAGGAGGCTGAGGCTCAGTAAAGGTCAGTGACTTGCTCAAGGTAGCAGACAGAAAGAACCTGGATTCAGACCTGGATATGAGGAGGGTACTTGGCTCTCTTTCTTCCATACCACATTCTTCTGTTTTCAGAGCTCTAGAAAGAGAAACTGAATTCTTCATTTAAGGTAAATTGTGGCTCATTGGTAAATACACCAACTGATTTTAGTTTACTGCTGTTATATTCATGTATTTACATGGTTATCGTACAATCATCTTTTTAATTGTATACATCTATCTTAGAATATGAGGAGTATGGACCCAAATCAGAAGGGCCCTAGGTCCTTAATGAGAAAGGGCTGCAAGGGATATTTGGAGACATTTTATCTACTAGGGACTGAAGGGCCAGGCCAAGAATAAGGGAAGGACTCTGGGTTTCCCAAAAAGAGGGGCAAGAGAGAGAAAATAGGCTTTAAAATCCTGGGCCAAGGTCTTGGTCTTTGAGCAGTAAGGAACCATCAAATTTTTAGTTGCTCTAGATCTGTGCAAAATTTCTTTTCAGTTCTTATTTAAAAGCATACCCTAGAAAGTGGGATTTTGATTTTTAAAAAATAATGTAAGGCCTGTGATGTTTATCAAATGTCTAACAGTACCCTATATATTAATTAATATTATACTAGAATGTATTACTAACATGTGAAAGTAGGTTAATCTTTAGGATAATAGACAGCTACAGTAGTGTCTTGTTCTATCCCATATATATTTAAGGATCTTTGTTCTATAGTTCTTTAAGGGTTTATGTGGATTAGTATAAAAATTTGTAAGGATAATAGAAATAATATAAAGTTTTGGGTTTTTTTAACTCTAAAATAACCTTAAAGTATATTTTAGTGAACTAGTTGATATAATTTAAACCTCAGAGAACTTTCAAGTATAAATTATAGAAATATCTTTTCTTAAACTTACTTTTAATAGAATGAAAAATATTATTTGAGATACTTGTAAGGATATTCTTTGTTAAATATCTGGAACTGTTTTTAAATTTAAAATTTTTCTTTGACCCCTTGAAAGCCAGTTTTCTTTTAAAGTATATAAGTATATATTGTGGAAAAATCATAGATTTATGTGTGTGTATTTTTATTTATACATGACTCATTCACATTTGTGGTTATATTTATGTAGTTCTCTAATATTCACAGTTTAGTTTTCCTGTGTTTTTTTCTCTAAGGAAATAAGAAATTTATCCTGTTAGTTTTTAGATTACCAAGCCTCATTTTTTTCTTTTCTTGAAAATTCCAAGTTGTCAGCCATTTTCTTGAGTTTATCATGCTATGCAACCTTCCTTGGGAAATATCTTTTTACAGTTACTAAAATTTAAAAGTAGTCATATGAAATAAAAATGGAGACTAGCTCCTTAAATCTTAAGTAGTATGTGCGAATGTATAAAATAACCTAAACAAATGAAAAGTACATTCATGTTATAAATCTTACCTGATTCCCTTTTAAAGCTCAAATGGTTGTTATCCAGTTTTGTTTGTGCTTTCTATCTAGTGGGCCACTTGTGGAAAAGGGTCTTCTTCTCTCCTAGGCCACAGACCTCCACCAGCACGCAGTGGACATCGTTGTGTGGCAGATAATACCAATCTGTATGTGTTTGGAGGTTATAACCCAGACTATGATGAATCGGGAGGGCCAGATAATGAAGACTATCCTCTCTTCAGGGAGCTTTGGAGGTATCATTTTGCAACAGGAGTATGGCACCAAATGGGCACAGATGGCTATATGCCCCGGGAATTGGCATCTATGTCACGTGAGTGCAAACAGTTTTGAATTTTTTATTTTATGAAATATCTGAGAGTCCAGGTTCACTATCTACATGTTCCTTGTTAATAATTTATAACATTGTAATATGTTAAACCTTTTTAATATGCATTTTACTCTGGTAATAATATAGCATGGTGATTTAGAATTAAGTCCTGAGTTTGAATCCATTTATATATCATTTTACTGCCAGATGTTTTAGCTTTAATTTCCTTACCTGTAAAATTGGATTAATAATATCTCAGAGGTTTTAATAAAAAGCATCATAATATGCAAGGGAAAATGTTTTCAGAGATCAATAAATAGGGTTATAATGATGAGAGTAAGTAGCTATTGAAATACTTAACACACATTATCTGTTTAATCCTTACAGCATCCCTGTGATGCAGTTACTACAGTGATTGCCATTTGTACAAATGAAGAAACTGAGACTTTTAGAGTCCCTAAGGTTAATGGTTAAGAGTGAAGGTTCTGGAGCCAAACTGCCTGGGATTAAATCCCAGCTTGGCAAGGTTCTTTTTAGGAAACCCTCAGCAAGTTATTTGAACTGCTGTCCACCTCTGTTTAATCATCTATAAAAAAGGGAGAGATAATAATAGTTCCTGCCTTGTAAAATTGCTGTGAAAATAAAGTTAAGTTAGGGAAGTTAAATATCTTCTGAAGGTCACAGCCAATTCTTGCTGGCTCTAGAGCCCAGCTGTTGACCACTATAGTGTATCAGTTTAAAATATGGTTTTTTAAAATAGTCACTGAAATAATACAGTGGTACTATTTTGAGAGATGGAGAAAACAGGCATGAGAGAGAGAGAGAAAAGGGGGAGAGAGAAAGGAGAACGTGTGTGTTGGTGGGGTGGCAGGAACAGAAGAGAGAGTGTTCCCTATAGGATATTAGTATGCAGTATATTAGTATAGTAGTATTTGATAAGGGATTAAGATGTCAGAAACCACAATTTAAATGTGGAGATCATTTCTCTGACACACACTCAATGATCCTGTACTCTCTTCATCCTGAGTCCCCTGGGGGTTTATGATATTTTTGGTTTTCCTCTACTTTATCACATACTTGAACTGTCTTGAGCAACAGTGGCATATTATAGTTCATAGAACTCAGCATTGCTGTATACATGGCATTTAATAGATTTCATAGATACATACTGACTGTGTATCATACTCCTAATGGTGAAACTATATGATATAGTCCACACAGTATGAATTATACCTTTTTCTGCAGAACTTTATAGTAGTTAGATGTTGGGTTGCTAATTAGATAAAATAGCCAATGGCTGGGCTAGCTTACAAGATCACTAGATATTTTTTAGTTTTTCAGCTATTCTGAGTTTGTGTGAGAACACATTCCAGGTAGCCAGTACATAAATGGAATTTGTGCTTCCTTCTCAGTTGTGCTGCATGGAAACAACCTGTTAGTGTTTGGAGGTACAGGCATTCCATTTGGTGAGAGCAACGGCAATGATGTCCATGTCTGTAATGTGAAGTACAAGAGATGGGCTTTACTCAGCTGTCGGGGGAAGAAACCCAGTCGTATATATGGACAGGTAACAGTCTGTGGCCAGTTACTGTGGTTGTATGTTCATATTTTTCTAGCCGTGTCAGGATATTTATATTGCTACTTTTTTAAGGGGGATGGTTACTGAGGATTGAACCTGGGGTGCTCTACCACGGAGCTACATCCCTAGTCCTTTTTTGTTTTGTTTTTAATTTCCAATTTTGAGACAGGATCATGCTAAATTATTGAGGCTGGCCTTGAACTTGCAATCCTTCTGCTCCAGACTCCCGAGTTTGTAGGATTACAGGCACGCAACATGCTGCTGGTCTTTTTTAAAAATGGAGAATGAATTCAGTGTGATTAATATTTGATTTTTCAGTTCTGATGTGAAACTTTAATTTTGCCATTTCTCTCCTTTTTCCTTCACTTTTTGTTTCTAATCCAGTTTAGGGCCATCATCTAGGCCTGTTTGGAAGTTTCTTTAAATGTTAGAACCTCACCTCATCTCCACACCAAATGAGAGACTGGGCTCTAGGACAGTCTACAACCTGTCATTTTTAGAATGATGGGCGAGAAGGCTCTTCATAGAATCCTAAGTAGTACAGTAGATGATCCCTATACTTGGCTAAGAGGCTTTTACATGAGCTTAAACATTGTGCAGGTTAGTTTAGGTTCCAGTGTTTCAACCTTAGATTTGCAAAGTTATATCCAGAAAGATAGGGAGCTGCCCACTCTACACTAGAGACTCTTTGAAAATAATGGACTAAGTTAAAATACCACGGTTTGATTTCTTTATTGACTAACTGGCACTGGTACTGATAAACAGCTTGTGAACTTTAGCTTTGAAAGGGGCACATACTGGACCATACTCTCTATCTGACCACAGTGATAACGATAGCTGAATTTATATTGAAGAAGAGATTGATGGACGCTATTGTGTTCCTGAGACTGCCAACTCTAGCCTTCCTATCTACAGAATTCTCATGGCTTATTTTCATCTCTGCTGTTGCTTCTTGAGAACATTTTTCTTCAGATTGCTTAGAAAGAGAAGTAGCTTTCAGTGGAAATGTTCATGTCATGATCGGTACATTCTTGACTAGGACTCTAAGAATCATTTCTCCTTACCTTTCTAGGTAGAATTCACAAAACTTTACCATTCTAAAGGGAATCTCCAGGTTCTAAAAATATTACCTAGATTCCTCAAAATCTTTACTCCTTTGAGAGTCTGATATTTATTTTTTATTATTCTGAGACAAGGTGTCTTGCTGTATTGCCCAGACTGGCCTCTGTTTCTTGGGCTTAAGCAATTGTCCTGCCTCAGCTCTCTAAGTAACTGGGACTACAGGCATGTACCACCGACCCAGCTTTAGGGTCTGGTATTTTTTTAAAATATATTTTTGTTGTAGATGAGCACAATACCTTTATTTATTTTTATGTGGTGCTGAGGATGGAACACAGTGCCTCATAACTGTGAGGCAAGTGCTCTACCCCTGAGCCACAATCCCAGCCCTGGGTCTGGTATTTTTAATGGTTAAAAAGTACAAGAGATCTGGGTGCAGCAGCGCACACCTATAATCCCAGGCGCTCCGGAAGCTGAGGCAGGAGGATTGCAAGTTCAAAGCGAGCCTCAGCAACTTAAGGCTGAGCAACTTAGCGAGACCCTATCTCTAAATAAAAAACAAAACAAACAAACAAAAAAGGGTTGGAGATGTAGCTCAGTGGTTGAGTGCCCCTGGGTTTAATCCCCAGTAAACAAACAAACAAAGTTCAAGAGAATTTCATAAAACCTGATTTGGGCCATTTAACAAGTTTACATTTTGTAATCAAGTGTTAAGTCATTCTTGGGCTGGGGTTGTGGCTCAGTAGTAGAGCACTTGCCTCACATGCATGAGGCACTGGGTTCCATCCTCAGCACCACATAAAAATAAAAAAAAAAAGATATTGTGTCCATCTATAACTAAAAAGATATATATATTTTTAAAAAGTGTTAAGTCATTCTTGTCTGCTTTTCCTTGTTACCCAGGCAATGGCTATCATCAATGGCTCCCTTTATGTCTTTGGGGGGACAACTGGCTATATTTACAGCACAGACCTGCACAAGTTAGATCTCAATACCAGAGAGTGGACACAACTGAAACCAAACAACCTGTCCTGTGACCTGCCGGAAGAGAGGTAAGCTTCTAATATTAAAGCATACTAAGATTGATCTCTTTTAGAATATTGGTAATGTGAAGAAAATCCAATGACCCTGATTACTATAGCTAATTGGCTGTGAGATCTCAGGTCAGCAGTAAAGAAAGGTATTCTAGTGAGAATATGACATTTCCCCCTGAACTGTAAAATGTTTTCATGTTATTTCCTCTTACACTTTTTAATCTTTCTGTAATACTTTGAAGAAGAAACCAATGGTAGCAAAAGTTCATATTGGTGATCAATGAATGTTGATTGGATAGGTGGATGGGTGAAAAAGTTTATTTGTTTTAAATGCTCTGTTAAACATTCCAGTGTCACATAGTTCTCTCTAGTGGCTTTCTACTAGTAGTCCTAGACCTTTCACTTTCCTTTCCTAATAGTAGTTGCCTCTTAGAATTCCTTAAAAAACTTGAAATTATTTCCCCTCAAGTTTAAAAGAAAGACAGCAAATAATTTTTTAATTCAGTGTTTAGTCTATCCAGTGTCTTTTTTTTTTTTGCCTTTAAACAAAATGGCTATGGATGCTAAGGAAGCACCTATAATATTTATCTTTTGTATGGTATATTAGTGGTCTGATTATCGCAAAACTCCCATGAGAAGACTTGGGAGACAGCCTGATACTGGAATGATTTCAATGAAATTTATTTTATCCGCACTAGATTTTTTAGGGAAAGAAGGAAGTAGATTTCAAAGTAGTTTGACCTGGTTGCCTTCTTTGAATCATTTTATGGACATATTATAAATTATTTCAGCTTTTAGCTAGACTAGACTGCCTGGATAAAAATCCTGGTAGGTATTTCATATCACAGTTCTATATAGCATAGTTTTCTGCAAAATAAGGGTTCTAATTTGAAAACTCACATCTAGGGTCTCTAATTAAATGTAGGTAGATCACTTTTTAAAACTCCATAAAAAGACTGAGCTCAGGGGTGAGTGCTTGCCTAGCATATATGAGGCCCTGAGTTCAGTCCCCAGCACTGCAAAAATAAAACTGTAACCATTTCCCCCTTATGCAAAGTTATCACAAAAAGATGTTAAAAAATACAAATAAGCAAAAATGAAAAAAAATTAAAAATTAAATTTAGAGATTACTAGGATTAACATTTTAGGTTATATTTTATAGTCATTTTCTATGTGTATTGCATATCTATACATTTTTAATGAGATTATGGCCTATCTACTTTGGTGTAACTGCTTTTTTTTCAGTAAATATCATGAAAAGAGGTTGTCAATATATTAATCTCCTTGGTGCCTACATTCTTATTGATTGTATATTAACCCATTTCTGTGTATTCTGTAATTCATTTAACCAGTTTTCACTGTGGTTAAACACTTAGGTTATTCCCAGTAATTTTTATTATAAATAATGATGAAATAAAAATATTATAGCTAAACCTTAGTTAGATCATTTTTGACTTAATTATAAATATTTTGGGGGGTATATTTTCAGGTACAGACATGAAATTGCTCATGATGGGCAGAGGATTTACATCTTGGGAGGTGGTACTTCCTGGACAGCTTATTCCTTAAACAAGGTACATTTAAAAAAAAAAAAAGAAAGGAAAAAAAAAAGGATAGGGAGAAGAGTAGACAGAGGCATGTGTCTTACTAAGCGAAATAATTCTATTGCTTTAGGTATTTTAATTTTCAAGCATCCTCCTCATCAACACCTGCTTTGTGGTAGATGCTTTTTATAATATAAGGCTGAATTCTGCTCCCGATACTCTTCAGTTGACAGTTGCATTTATCACACACTGAGAGTATATTATGAAAATTATCCCTTCATGCTGGATGAGGAAAATGACTAGAAGGGAAGTATAGTAGCTTGAATGGGGCAATGAATTAGAATCAGAATCAGGATTATCACAATGTCACATCCCTCTCATCGTCGATGCTAAAAAGAATAGACATTTTTAGGAATACACATGACTAATTTTAGAAAGCTGAGTTCTGAAGAGCTTTTATTCACCCATCCTTGTGGCATTTCTGAAATGTCATGGTTACATATCCCAAGGGAAATCTCAATTAGGCAACAGAGTTCTTGGTGTGCTTTGAAACATTATTGAACTTTTCAAATTTTGTCAAAGCTATCTTCCCATATTTCCTTACCAAAGCTTGCTTTAAAATGATACATATTCACTGTAGAAAATGTGGAAGTTACAGAGCAGATAGCACACAGAAGAAAATCAAGTGTCGTGTGCACTTCTACTTTTTATTCCACTTTTTTCCCCTGTGAATTTAAAAAATTATTATCATATATGTGCTTAATTTTCAACTGTCCTATTTTATTTAATATGGAAAGATCAGAAGCTGGGTGTGGTGGTACATGCTAGTAATCCTAGCTGCTAGAAAAACTGAGTCAGGAGGATCCCAAGTTCAAGGCTAGCCTGGGCAGTTTATCAAGACTTTATCTTAAAATAAAAAATAAGGGCTAGGGCTGTAGCTCAGTGGTAGAGTGCTTGCCTAGCATGCATGAGGCACTGGGTTCCATCCTCAGCACCACATAAAAAAATTAAATAAAGATATTGTGTCCACCTAAAACTAAAAAATAAATATTGAAAAAAAAAAAAACGCAAAATAAAAGGTGGTGGGAATGTAGTTCAGTGGTAAAGTAGCCCAGGTTTAATCTTCAGTATTATGGGGTGGGGTAGGGTGAGGAGGAAAAAAAAAAAAAAGGAAATACCAGAGAAAAGCAAAGGAAAAGAAGAATTTTTTTCAACCCAGAATATTTGCGTAGGCTGTTGTTAAAAATTCAGTATTCTGGGGCTGGAGATTAAATAAACATATTGTGTCTACCTATCAGTAGAGTGTTTGCCTAGCATGTACAAGGTCCTGGGTTCAATCCTCAGCACCACAAAAAAAAAAGAAAAAAAATAAGTTATTCTATATGGGAAATCTCTGTTCCTTGTGCTCAGTTTTTTTAAAAAACTACTCTAAAAAAATATGTCTATTTAAAAAAAATTTTTTTCAGGCTAATTAAAATTGCAAGTTATTTATCTGTATATATGTTCTTTTTTTCCCCGCCCAAGATACATGCATACAACCTTGAAACCAATGCATGGGAGGAAATTGCGACAAAACCTCATGAAAAAATAGGTAAATTAAAAGTATTAATTCATTTAACGAATTTATTTTATACTTTTACTTGTGTTTTTTTGGGGGGGAGAGGGAGGTAATTTTCTTGAGTTACATGGCAAGTAAAATATCTGTTGAACTGATATTAGAAATCACTTCTTCCTTAACACAATTATTTTTAGCAACTGAGCAAAGAATTTTACCAGGGATTATTGAATTCTGTGGCAGAAGTGGGGAAATGTGGGTGGGAAGAGAAATCAAGATCTCCCTAACTTTTTATGAGTAAAAGGGTTGGGGAAAGCCACTAGTAACCCCTGTCCCTGCACCCCACTTTGTTCCCGTGGCATCTTAGCATTGTGCTGCTATAAAGAGAGAAGTTTTGATGGCTTTTGAAATAAGGAAGGATTGGAAGGACTAGTCAATGTTTGCTTAATACAAAAAAGGGATTGTTTTGAGTTATTTACAAATATATCTTTCACTGTGTCATATCAACATCATTCCTTATCTTTCTGGGAATAATTTCTGTTTTTATGTGTGTTTGGCAGGTTTTCCTGCAGCCCGAAGATGTCACAGTTGTGTTCAAATAAAAAATGGTAAGGATTCTAAATAATATTTTGATCCATTTCTGTAATTGTATCTGCCGAGAATGACTTATTTCCTAATGATAATTTCTCAAAAGAGGTTCATAACTTTGGGAAGAATCCATTTCTGATAGTTTAAACTTAAAGGGAAAACTATAGAGTTGTGCCTCTCTTAGCAGTTGTTATGATGTAAACTAAACTAGTGTCTGGATTCCTGCAGTTAACAGAGAACTCAAAAATTGGCAATAAATAAGCTTTTATTGTATACCTAATCTTTCAGCATCTGACCTCAATAGATATCTGTGGTTATGTTTATAACACAAATAAGGGTGATTGCTTATATAGTGGAAACCTTGGTAGATATTATATTAAAATGATAGTAACTCCTTCAGAGTATTATTTCATAAAGTTTATCCTGTTCTCTGACTAATGTCAAATAGAACTAGTTCATTCTTTGGCCATATTATAACAAAGGCATTGTATGGCTTCAGAAAGCAGTAGCAGCTCCTTTATCTGAGTGTGATAATGACTCTTTTTGGGATACTTCCTGTCTTTTCATTTACAGTTTATTTTATTCTTTGATATACTTCCTCAAGTGCTTCCCCCACTCCAGGAAGGTGTGTATAAATGAGCTGGATAGACTGTATCTTTTCAACAACGTAGTTCATTCATATTTAACCAGAATTATTCTACCATTTCTAGTACAGAGGGGCTTTTTTTTTTTTTTTTTAAGGGGGAGAGAGAGAGAGAGAGAGAGAGAGAGAGAGAGAGAGAATTTTTTAATATTTATTTTTTAGTTCTCGGCGGACACAACATCTTTGTTGGTATGTGGTGCTGAGGATCGAACCCGGGCCGCACGCATGCCAGGCGAGCTCGCTACCGCTTGAGCCACATCCCCAGCCCCAGAGAGGGGCTTTTTTTAATGCTCTGCTTTGGGGATAGGATATATAGATACTGTCATTGTTTAGCTTTGCCTCTCTGAGAATGGAGCTGTTCTTAAAAACTTTTCCTTGAATCCTAACCAAAAAAATTGTGATGTATTTTATAGTTTAATTAATTATTGGCTTAAACTTGATTTAGACCTGAATTAAGATATTTATCCGTTTGATTCTTTGTAGCCAAGCACCATACAAATGGAATTCGGCCTTAATTCTGGGCATTTAGTTAGACTATTCACATAGTCTTTATTACAAGTTGACTAACTAGTTAGAACTAACTGGTTTTACAAAAACAAAATTAAAATTCCACCTTTCCTTTGGGGAAAATTGTGTTTCTGACAAAGAGCTGTACAGATCAAATAGAGCTTCAGAATATCTTCTTTCAACTAAAGAAAGCCTAGAAGAACTTCTTTTGTGTACCCAAGCTGCACATTGCACTGAGTGCTTCTCAGGTTAAATGTCTATAGGGAAACTGAGCGCAGCAGTGTACATCTGTAACCCCAGTGATTACAGAGGCTGAGGGGGGGAAGATTGCAAGTTCCAGGCCAGGCTCAGCAACTTAGAGAGACCCTCAACAACTTTACAAGACCCCGTTTCAAAAAATAAAAAGGACTGGAGATGTGGCTCAGAGGTAAACTGCTCCTAGGTTCAATCCCCAGTATGAGAAAGGGGGAATCCATATGGAGGACATTAGTCTCTGTGGGCAAATAAATGTACGTACTTTCCAGAACATTATTTAAAAGAAGAACTTGCAACCAGTGATCTATAGATGTGTTTTGTTTGGCTCCTACGTGCATTAAATTTCTTTTGAATTAGTGGCCAATACTTATAATCAAAATACTTCATTAGAAAAAAAAATCCAGATTTTCATCTTCTCTTGAAAAAATGGAAGATCTGATAGTTACTAATCATAACCAGCTCTCTTTAGAACATGAGTACGCCTATATATTGTACTGAGACTTCCTGACATTTATTTCCCCTCAACCCCTTGCCTGGAACCTAGAGGTATTTGAATTTGAAAGGCTTGATATGAAACTTCCTAAAAAGCTTTAGCCCCTGCCCCCCAAAGACTCTTCCAACACAGTATCCCAATTCTGTTGAAGGACAAGCCAGTAGCGTGTCGGACCACACAGCTGAAGTCCTCTCTCTTATGGGGCAATCCCCTTAACTGTCAGCCAGCCTTGTGATCTATTGTAAATCACTCTGTAGCTTTGGCCCTTTTCCTTTGTGTGATCTTGGCCTTCTCTTTTTTTGATAGATGTATTCATTTGTGGGGGCTATAATGGAGAAGTGATCCTGGGAGATATCTGGAAGTTGAATCTGCAGACATTTCAATGGGTGAAGCTTCCTGCTACCATGCCAGAGCCAGTTTATTTCCACTGTGCAGCTGTTACACCAGTAAGTTCTTATTTTTGTATCTTCTTTATGTAATTGTAGATGATAAGAAAATCTTTTAGAAAAAAAATGCTGATATTGGCAAACCTTGAATTAAGAATTGTTTTTAAAAGTTCCTTTTGAAGCTAGCCCTTCCTCTGAGAAAAGGGGAGGAAAATACCAACATACCCAAGTTTAAACAAACAACATAAATGTAAAAGAAACACTACATATGGCATTTAGGTCCTGGCAATGATATCAAAGGTGTTTCCTGAGAGGGTAAAATAACTTTATTCTCCTGTACCATATTATTGAAGATATCACTGCAGAGACCTTTATTTTCAATTTTGTATTCCCAACATTTAGCATTTGGGGTACTTAGAATAGTGAAAATTTAATGGCTGGGGTTGTGGCTTAGTGGTAGAGCGCTTGCCTAGCATGTGTGAGGCACTGGGTTCAATTCTCAACACTGTGTGTAAATAAATGAATAAAATAAAGGTCCATCAACATCTAAAAAAAAAAAAGTTTTTAAAAATTTAATGTTAGTTAATAGTGAAGTTTTTTGTTGTAAAACACACACACACACACACACACACACACACACATACACACACCTATAGTTTTTTTCTTAGTAACCCATTCATTTTTTTTAAACTCTGTTGATTTCTGTATATGTTGGGATCAGTGAAAACTTCTTTTTTTTTTTAAATTTTTTCTTAGACCTGGGATCCAGCCCAGGGCCTTTTACATGCTAGGCAAGTGCTCTACCATTGAGCTAGCTACATGCACAGCCTGAGAAATTCTGTTTCAACTCATTGGATTTAATTTGCAATGGTTTATTTGTTTTGTTAATTTTTTTCTTGCTGAGTCTTCAGCACTGGTATCTATTTCTCTTCCATTTGAATTTGTCCTCTTTTGATTGCCATTTGTTCATAGGCTGGTTGCATGTACATTCATGGAGGAGTGGTGAACATCCACGAAAACAAGCGGACTGGGTCTTTGTTTAAGATCTGGCTGGTGGTACCTAGCTTGCTGGAACTGGCATGGGAGAAGCTGCTCGCGGCCTTCCCCAACCTAGCAAACCTCTCCCAAATACAGCTTCTGCACCTTGGACTAACACAGGGACTCATCGAGCGCTTGAAATGAGGATATCTGRACTGTTCATTGATGCTGGAAATGTTAATTTAAAGAGACTCCTTTATTTATGGGCAGTGTAGGATGTGCTACAAAGAGAATTGGTTACCCTGATCAAGGCCTTATTCAGAAAATACATCAGATGCCTTTCTGTAAATTGGTTTTTAAGTTTATGGACATCTCACTTTTCCATGTGCTTTCTTCTTTGCTTCTCTTCCTCCTGCCTCAATACATACCCACATACTTTCTCTTTCTTGATGGAGTTGAGGGAAAGTTTAAAAGTACTTTAATAATGTCATTGATCAAGATAAGATAAAGAAATTTTTTAAAAAGAATTCTGGACATAATGACCATGTCAACCAATGCTCTACAGATTAAAACATCATCAACAAAAACAAAAATAAAAACGTAGTAACAGCTACAAGTAGTTTGGGGGATAGATTGAGAAAACTAACCTTGAGAATCTTGCAGGTTATTCTTAAAAAACAGGATGTTTAACTTGGTATTTTCAAGGTGTGTCTGAGTAGTTGGATTGCATGGCAGCAGTGATTGACATCTTGCTGCATGTATACCTAAGCTTAACCTTTGACTTTGGAGGAAAGTTAAGCAGCGCAGCAACTCCTGGTTAATGATATCTTTTCTCTTCCTTACGGTGCCAGCAGTTGTTAGATTGGTTTGTCCAGGAGACTTCTATGTGAGTTGTGGTCTTTGTTGTTGCTCTTAGAAATTATGGCACCAAGAATATTTTAAATTGAGAAATTTAATGTTGTTCAAGTTCTTCTTTCTAGGCAGTTTTGAAATTCTCCTGTGCTTCTCTCTCTGACTTCTTCATGGGGAAGAAATGTGTGGTGTAAATGGCCACAGAACAGGAAAGCAGGCAAAGAGCGCCTTCAGATTTGATAACTTGGCTTCTGTTCAGAATGATGGCCTTTGACTGTCACACTGGCCATTTCCTTTTCAAAACTTGCTTCTTTTCTAATCTGTGGACCATGTACCTGCCATTTCCTTAGGCAGTTGGTCCTCAATTTTCCCCGAAGCTTGCTGTCTCCTTTTCTGTCTGCTTTAATGCGCATGGTGCTGAAATTGTGTAATAATTGGATAAGTAGTCTTGAGGGAAAAGCCACAGGTCATCCTTCCTGAAACCCAAGTATCAGATACTTAGCGCAAGGAAGGAATTTGCTTTCTCATGTGTGAAATTTTAGTTCTGATTTGTTAGTTTTAAAAAGAAAAATGATATGGGTTTTCACTTGTTTTGCCAGCAGGCTGCTAGAGAGGTTGAGCAGTCGCTTGCCATGAGCATTTGGATGTGCACAGGTGTTCTCAAAGGTGCTGAAGGCATGCAAGAAGGCACAGTGCTGACCCTCCCACCATCCCCTCACAGAGGGAGATTCATGTGGGAGATGTGGGACACATTTTTCTTTAAGTGCCTCTTTTTCACTTAGCTTTTAAAGTGATTCTTTTTTTTTCCCCCATTACCCCAGAAGGGATCTCTTTAGCTTATGTGTGGATTTAAAAATCACCTTTGACTTATTATGGCTAAAAAGATACCATCTAGTGTTCAGTTCTGGGGAAGAGACAACTGCGGCCTATAGACTTGGACTCTTAACTTCTAGGCCTTATTATATCCCATTCTTGTTGGGTTATGTCAGAGGAACCTGTATTCTGCAGAGTCTTGTAATAAGCACTTATCTGTGAATCTGGGTCCTTCCTGGGGAGTGAGGAATGTGAGGGAGAGGCAGGAAAAGGACAGCTCCTCTAGGGGTCCCCTGCCCCCACCTCTTGCCATTCCCAATCAGTGAGGCATTTAACCTCTTACCACCCACTGCTAGGCTTGTTCCTCAGAGGAGCTCTCTCCAGAGCTTTGGTGCATGACGTCAGCCTGCCTCTGGGCATTTGTTGGGATTACATCCGAAACCAACCAAGTCATGCTGTCTAGGGTGGCAAAAGGATTTTTTTCCATTGATTTTTGCAGGGACCAAAGATTGAATGCTTAGCTTCTATGCTTAGACTTCCCTGGTCCTTGGAACATTAGCAGGTCTCTGGCTCTGCTGCACCAGAAAGCTGGAGAGAGAGGGGATCTGAGACAGTCCACACTTGCCAGCATCCTTTTTAAGCCTTCCGAGGGCAGTTTTCTTTGAGATAGATCTTGGAGGCCTGACATTGAAGACCTTGCATGTGACATTTTCATGAAAGTGCACATCCTTGGTCTACGGTGTCTTCTTTGAATATAACACTTGTGAAAATTATGTAGTATGACCAGCTCTGAGTGCTATTCACATGCACAAGTTCTGAATGCCAAATGAGACTGTGTGTATGGTGATTTAAATGAAGATGACTGGACTTTTATGTAACAGTCACCAGGCATTTTAGTATACCTATAACCAGCACTTGGAATTCCCGACACCATTACTTGATGTGGGAAAGCTTGTGCCTGATGCTCCTCTGCCTCTTTGAGGTATTCCCAGTCATCTTCCTACAGTCTGGAAATTGAAGTGCAATATATAGAAACACATATGGATATATACAGATTATATAGAGGATGTGACTATAAAGCAGCTACACTACTTTTTTGTATCTGTCTTGGCGAAGCCAGCTCATTGCTTTAGAGTAAAATTATGCCTAGAATTTTTGATGTGATCAGCTGGCTTAAGCTAAATCTTGGTAAAGCTGGATTTTCAAGTCCATATTTTCTTACTCCAGGTCATAGAGACTTATTGTTCCCTGGGTTTGTTAGAGTTGAGAATTTTTTTCCCCAGTCACCTCGTTATACTATCTCATGTTTGTGTGTTTTGCCCAGGAACAAGGAAGTCACTAGTGTAAGGTGTTTCCTACATGGGGAATCAAAACCTAATATTTGGCACTATCAGTTTTTTCACATGTACACTATTTATCTGGGAATGTAATACCTTATTAAATGATGAAAAAGATGCTTTTTTTTCATTTAATAAAGTATTTTCCACACCCTGGAGAAACCTCAGACTGATAAAGGTTAGAATAAAATGTTAACTGTTCTTCAGGAGCCAAATAAAATCCTTTCCATTGGCAGATTCTTCTTTTTTCAGGGTCTTAATGACACGATGTAAAAATTTGCTCTATACCATTCCTGTCCATTACATAACTAGATTTAAAAAGTATAATAATAAACATATTAACATTTCTAAGCAAAAGGTACATTGACAGTGACCTTTGGTTACCCACAGTAGCAAGAGTAAAGCACAGATAATTGAAATCCATAGATAATAATCAATGTTTCAACTTTTCTATCAAACAATTGATTCCTTTGTATTTCTTCTCCCTCCCGTCCCTGTGCCACACGCACCTCCTTTTCAGTGGAATGAGTAGTTAGAAAAGGGAAAGGAAGACCCCCAGAGGGGCTGGCAAGCAGCGTACACAAGAGCAGCCTGGTTAGCTACACTTGGTCCACTTGGCACTGCTGAACACTGAGCGGAGGAGCCACAGGTGCAATCCCGAATTTAGCTGTCACTCTTCAGCATCATCTCCTGCCCTGAGTTCTAGGCTGTCACTCTTAAATTACCAAAGAACTCAGCACCTGTGGGAAGAAAAAAGCTGTGTATGACAGGAAATTCCATCATTTGAACACATTGCTTTGACTCTTGATGAGTCCTTGCTTTTTTTGTTGTTGTTTTTTGTTTTCCTTTGGAGATACCTTCTCCAGTTATATCTCCCGATTGCCTGGCATATAGGAAAGGTTGGACTGTCCTTTCTGACTATGTTGGTCTTTATATCCTATAATACCAGTTTATTTTTATGTGGTCTTACAGATGTTTAGAAAGTAGCACAGGTTACCGAATTGTTTATCTGCCAGCATTCTGATGTAGCACAAAAAGCCATTTTTGCTTCTTTTTGTTTTTTTCGTCCCATTTTTCTGGCATTGAGCTCCAGGGTAGATGAGGGTTTATGGTCTTATGACCATAAGTTCCAAAAACTGGTCACCGTTGGTTTAAATTGCTTTGGTTCCTCAAATATCTTAGGACTCTAGGAGCTTTGGCAGGGCCTGAGGTAGGCTCAGTAGAGTTCTGGAACCTCCATATGTCGCCACCAGATTATATCTAGCAATGAAATTTCCCTTCTATCGTCGTGAAATTTGGTGGAAAGTGACCTCTTCCCTTGTCTGGTGTTATAAACAGAAGTTCTGAGTTGTGCTTCAAAAGTGGTACCATCTTTTGGTGTAATTTTTATGTTTTCAATTTTTACTTTTTGAGATGTTTTTTAAAGGCCCTGCTTAGTCAATGTACAGGGTGAGTCAGAGACAGTTTTCAGAGAAATAGCAAGTTCACCAGGTAGTAGTAATTGCTATTTTACTAGTTACACGTATAGAATACAAAGGAAGCGTCAGGAGACACTGACTCTCTAAAGCCACTTCCTGGTACAGAGTCTATGCAGGGAGAGCCCAGGCATCTCCCAGTAAAGATACTTGCCAGTGACAAGTCACTGACTGGAAGAATCCAGGCAAGAAAGGGAAGCCTGTCTCTGAAACTGTCTCTGAGGGGTGAGCCTAGGCTGAGCTCCTCTGCAGGGTATGCTTAGGCCACACACAATGCTTGCCTTACTTTAAAGCTTTTGCCACAGTCTTGTTAAATAGTGTGAAAGTCCTTTTGCAGTCTGGTGTGCATGCCTTATGACCAGGACAGCTTTTCCACCTTCCCTGGTTTCCTACAATCAAGTGGGAAATGTAGTGAATTTACCCTGAAATGTCCAATCTGTATTTATGTACCTTGTCAGTGTTTTGCTGTTGGTTTTCTAAAACAATCTGATCAATAAATCTTATCCAAATCTATTTGGTTCAAGTCCACCTTGATTGTCTGACAGTCATTTGTATGTATATGGACTCACCTGTTTGACATAAGCATCAATCCCACCATCTCCATCAATCCCCTTACCATCTCCCTGTGGGTTAGCTTTTTTCTGTAATACCTGAGAGTCATCTGCCTCCTGGGGGTCCTTCTGTCTGCTCACCATCTGGAACTCCTGGACATGTAGTAGTTCGCTCAGTAGAAGCTACTCCCTCCACAAGGACCTCAGCAAAGAAGCAGCTGCCCCATCCTGTATTCCCCAAACAACTGCTGGGCAAGTTTGTATGGGTACATCGAGAGTTTTTCGAAGGGTTGGGGGAGATTCAGAGAATTTGAAAGGAAAATGGAAATCTCTACATAGAGAGTCATAGGACTTTATAGTCCAAGGGAAAAGCCACCACAGGAGGAGAGCCCCGTGCAGGGGGCTTTTCAGGGGATGAAACCATAGTTCCTACCTCTGGCCTTAGTCTTCCAGATGCTGCTTCTCCAAAACTTCACCCTCTAACCTTTCTGCCAGCAGTGTGTCACCCCAAATCCACTAAGTCCAGAGTAGGCAAGGACATTCCAAGTCTGGTCACTTTTAAGGTCTCCCTTCCAGAATTGCAAATATACCTCTTAATTTTCAGTGTTTCTATTGGCTAATTATGGATCAAACATACCTTCCAAGGATAAGTAAGCTTAAATACTACAATGTAAATCTACAAGGAAAAAGAAACAATTTCTTCCTATTCACCCACCTTACAGTTAATACTTGACATGTATCACAAGTTGTCTTCTCCCCCACCACCTCTTCAAAAGTGTACTCCCCTCAGATCTGCCAGAATTAAGAAGTAAGCCCCCCTGTACCTTTAGATTTCAATCAGTCAGAGCTTTGAAATGGACTCTTATTTGCTTCTGACTGGGTTCTTAGACATCTAGCCCCATCTTGGCCTAGGGGAAGAGGTTTCAGTGGGGTGTCTTTTTCTTCCAGTTACATTTATGATTCTAGTTTGTCAGCCTGCTGTTACTCAGCTATCATGATTGAACAGTACAACACATTCTCTTGCAGGTAATCTTCCTCAGTTGTTGCTTGAAGGGAGAGGACACTGGCAAAACCACCCAGTTTCTGTAGTGCTTTCAGATGAAAGGCCTAGGTTGTGAACCAGTAGTGCTTTCTGCAGTGATGGAAATGTTCAGTATCTGCACCATCCACTGGGGTGGTGGCCACTAGCCACGTGTAACTATTGTGGCTGAGGAACTAAATTTTGAATTTGGTAATTTAAATTTTTTTAAATGTAAATAACCACATGTGGTTACCTATTAGGGCAATTCTAGAAAGAGATGACCCAGGGATTGGGACACCAGGGCTCTGCTCTTGGCCCAGTTCATAATAGTCCTGTTTTGAATGCAACTCATTTTACTTTGGGCCTTGATTAACTCATTGGTCAAAGAGGAGGTTTGCTAGATAATCCCCCACATCCCGTTCAGATTCAACATTTTGCCATTAGGATGCTTGGCCAAAGGCCTGGAGCATCCATCTATACAGCGCTAGGCCTGGACTAGAGTTTCTTCTGCACCTTGATTTGATACTAAGACAGTTGGTTCCACTGTGGTGCTTGGTGGCCTGCAGCACAGGCCAGGCAGTTCCTTCATGAGTGCTACAGTCTGGATCCCCACTTGTGAGGTGCAGGCTCTGAGTATGAGTGCTGTGGACACAGTAGGAAATAGAACAAGATATAGCTCCGGTACAGGAAGCCTGGGTTAAATCCCCAGTACCTAACAAAACAGGCCCACCTGTGACCCACTGTTTCCAAAATGTGGTGCATGGTTGTTAAAAATACAGATTCCTGGGCCCAAATCACAGAGATTCAGTATAGTAGATGTGTTGTTTTAACAAACTCAGTTGATTTGGATTTAGCTGGCTTAAGACATTTGGG